AGAGAACAGCAATCCCTGAGTTGAACTCCTTGGTTGCATTAGGAGAGACGGGCTCCACACTAGCTGACCAGCTACATTTTGCTAACTGTTTAGCTTCTTCACTGTCTTCAGTACCAGTTTTTAGGAAAGTGATGCCATACAGTACTAGACCCTGAAGGTGTTAGAAGCCACCCTGGGGACAGATGTGGAAACAGCTGGAAGAAGAGCTAGAAACACCCAAGAATTTGATAGTGGCCGAGAGACCAGATAAATGTGCTAAATTACAGGATGGTTTCATAGTGCCTTGCATTTTGGCTCATGAAAGGTGCACTTACACAAGAGCAATGGTAGAATAAGAGCTATTACTATTATTACTTTCTCAGAGATGGACAATTAGTTGCACAAAGTTGTTCCCACTGCCCTTCCCCAAAATCTCAAGTTAATGTCCTGGTCACTATTTTTTTAACAGGATTTTTCCCCAGGCTCCAAGAGACACAGAACCGTGGAAGATTTTAACAAGTTTTGCACATTTGTCTTGGCGTATGCTGGTTACATCCCCTACCCCCAAGAGGTAATGTGTAGCCCCTTATTTTATCACAGGTACATGCCAATGTAGCTATTACTGGTGGGAGGCTAAAGGTTTTCCTGCATGTGTTGGAAAAGGTCTTCCTGGCAGCAGCTCAGAAAACTAAGATAATGTGATGATCTATGCAACATAAATACCTAAATGCTAGTTTTTGTGTTTAAAGGGGTTGGGTTCTGTGGAAGCTTTTACTGGGTCAAACGTAACACACTGAAATGTGATAGTCCAAAAGAAACTGCCAGCAAATAGCCTTACGTTTAGAAAGTTTTAAAGGTACAACAATTGGTCTTTTATGATACGTATGTGTTTCTCTTTAATCAAAAGTGAAATGTCTCAAACCTTGTTTGGCTTGAAGAGGCTGAACAAAGTGTAAAAATCCAGTCTTGAATTATTTGGGTGGTGGGCACTCTTTGTACAATGCTACAAGGTTACATTTAAGGTATTTGAAGTATGTAGTGTCTCTGCCCCTTCCCAGACCTCTGGGGCCATAGAGTTCAGCTTACTCATTTTGAGGTTGTTTGGCTTCTCCTGGGCTGGAGTTCCTGGCAGAGGCCTAGGTTTCAAAGCATATGAAAGGGAGTGGGAATTTTAACTCTTCGAAGTTGCCACACAGCACTTGACTGAAGTCCCATAACTGTACTAGAATAACAAATGGTAAACACTATAGGGTGGATAGGTATCAGCTCTAAAACAATGCTTACTTTTCTTCTCTTACTATTTTATAGGAGACACCCTTGAGGAGCAGCCCCAGTCCTCCTAATAGCACTGGTGGGACCATTGACAGTGATAGCTGGGATGCCCGATTCAGTGACCTCCCTTCTGCTGTCTCCCTGCCAGTCAAGAATAGAAAAAACTTTAGTCAGCTCAAGCGAACAAAACCATATGCTTCCCTGTTCCAGCGAGCAACGCCTAGCAGTTTCCTGCCAGAACGAAAGCAAATTGATAAAATCAGGAAGAAGAAAAAACTGAAGAGAAGGGAAACAGAAGTGCCTGTGGAGAAAGAATATGAGGAGAAGCTCCTGGACCTCGAGGTGGAGGACTCTTATGTAGAAACCCCCATGAGCCCTTCATCTGAGGGTGACCCTCAGTCTGTGACCGACCACTGTTCGGTGTGGGACTCTGATAGTCCTTCGAATGTCTCTTACGCTGCTGCTAACTCTGAGCAGGCTGTGGAGATACACAGTGTGGGCAAGCGAACAGTCATCCGGCAGGGCAAGCAGGTTGTGTTCCGGGATGAAGATGGCACTGGAGATGATGAGGACATCATGGTGGATTCAGGTATGTGGTTGGGGGGGCAGGATAGTGGGAGATGTTCTGGGAGACAGTGGGTCAGACTGTTAGTGATCCCATGCACAGTCTTTTTGTATAATCTGGAATAATGCAGACTTATCTTTTGGGAGAGGGGGCTGAGAGCTAAATTCATTAGCATTTGCACAAGCCTCTTAGCTCTTTCAAAAGAAGGTGGGCAGAGAAGAGTTTTACTGCTCAGTGACCAAAGGCCTGAATTACAGTGTCCAGGCTCAGGCTAGAGCCCTTTCCATGGGATGAATTTTCATGTAAAGCTGGACACGGGTCAGAAGCTGGTTTTGGAGCCGAGTACTTCTCCTGGGGCAGCAGTCCTCTTGCACTGCTGAGATTCCGTACAAGAGCAAAGTGCCAGGTGGCAATGCAGACTGCAGCTTCCAGCATGCCCTGGAGAGGCCTGCATACAATATCGGCCTTCAAAACCTCAAGATCAAGCTATGTCCGAGGGAAGAGTTGAGGTACAGGTGAGATGCAGTAGCGACATGGAGGCAGGTAGTTTTACCTTGCTCTTTGTCTTTCCAGATGACGATTCCTGGGACCTAGTCACCTGCTTCTGCATGAAGCCTTTTGCTGGTCGGCCAATGATTGAATGCAATGAATGTCACACCTGGATCCACCTCTCCTGCGCCAAGATCCGCAAATCAAATGTCCCGGAAGTCTATGTTTGCCAGAAGTGTCGGGACTCCAAGTTTGATATTCGCCGTTCAAACCGCTCCCGGATGGGCTCACGCAGGCGCTTTCTGGACTAGCCAAGGGACCTGCCTGACCAGCATGCCACTTGAGCAGATTAACCATGCAAAGCACAGAACTCCAGCCAACTAGGTCTAGGAGAGCTCCTTTGAACTGCATTTGCTCAGGCAAAAGGGGGCTGCCTGCCTGTCCATGTTAACAGGCACAAGGTGTCAGAAAGTCTCTGACAGCCAAGGCTGGAAGAGGCCTGCTGGTCAAAACTGCTGCTAGACACTGGCTAGCTGTAGCAGACAGATGAAGCACCCCAGGTACAGAGGGGTTTTTGAACAGTTAAGACTACAAAGGGGATGATGTCTGGGAATGTGTAATACTTTTGCCACATGTTAATTCTCATCCCACTGGGAAAGTGCTAAGAAACTGCAAGACTTCTATGTGTTAAGTCAATCACCTCCCAAGAGGGAGGAGGAAGAAAAGCTCTGTATGACAAGTCTGAAAAGCTACTGGCCATATGTTTTAATTTTAATGTAATACTAGACCCCCCCCACCACCACCCATTTGTCCATATATAACAATCTTAAGTATTCCTAAGGCCCATGACAGTGAGTGTGAATGCTCACTGAACTCGCGTGTGATCTGCCTCTGCTTTGACAGGGCTGAGCAGCAGGCGCAGCATTCGTTGAGTTCTGTGGTTTTTAGCATTTGCTTCCAGTAAAAAACAATGATTTCCTGTTGCTCCATGTACTGATATGTTTGAGGGGAGAATAAAGCCTCTCCTCTCTTCAGGTAGGCAGTGGTGGGTGGGGGTTGGCTGTGACAGTTCTCTTCCTTGGTCAGGCTGTTGTTTTCTCATCAAATTCTTTTTCTGACTTTGTTTTACATGTGTGGATGTGAGGGACCCATCCACTCTGTTCCCAAGTGGAGTCCTATGTCCTGTTCATTTCCGATACACTTTCAATGCTCCAAGCCCATTTTTTGGAGACATTGACTCCTCCTCCATTTCTCAGCCCTAAAGTAAAGCACTGATACCAGAAGGGGCCTTAGCAAACTGAAACTGAGGAATGCAGACAGGCCTCATTTGGGATTGTGCTGTCCCCATTAGAGTACTGAGGCTGGGTTTAACAGATCTGTTATGGGTACAAATGTAATCACTTGGCATTGGCACAATCCTGGGCAGGAGACTTTGCAAGTAGTAAGGTGAACTGCATCCGAGAACCATTCTGCACTGTGGAGGATTTAGGGGTGCACTAGCACCAGAAAGTGTTTTTATAATGTAACCATCCTGGATAGGGGTGAGCTGAGCAGAGCTGGAGATTGCTTCAAGAAAACAAGATGGCTTGTGATGCTGCTCAGATGTAGGTGTTGTCCTAGTAATGACCAAACCAAGTCTGTTGCATTGATTGCACAAATTAGATCTTTGTTCTTGAGAAAGCTCTCCAAGTTCTGGTTACTGAGCAGCACAGATTGTCCTGGCAGACAAGGCCAGTGGAAGTTGCTAGCTGATCTGGACCAAATGGCCAGGGACACATGCACACTAGTGCAGCAGGCACCCTGGTAGTGTGGCCTTCCCGCACGCTGGCTGCCAGGTACTGCATCCTAATGGTGGCCAAGGCAGTCAAGTGCCCCCTTTGGCTGTGCAGCACTACCCCGAGGAAACTACCAGGCAGAGGTAGAGCAGCCTGGGGCTCCTGCACGGGAGGCAAGACCAGAAAGGCCTGCTGGCATTCTCACCATGACAAAACCGTGAAATGGTACAGTTCTCCAACCCAGTCCCTGCCGAAGTAGCAAGGATTGGAGTTGTCGCTGCAGCAGCTGGCCGCTCCAGCTCTAGTTGCCCGAGGACGGCGGGGCGCTGCCTCCCGGGACTAAGCAGGGCGGAGCCTGCCCAGGGTTTTCCTGAAGCCTGGGGCTGCCTGCCCGTCTCCCGCAGGCAGCAAAGAGCCGG